CTTCGCAGTCATCACGATCCCGTGCTCTCCAATCTATGCTGGAAGTTCATGTGCTTCCATCCGTGGGTTGACCAAACCTGACTATGCTGCACAAGGTAGCATTTCATGAGCTCCCATGGGCGCCCGCCAAACTAGTCAGTACACTCAGGTCATCCGCGGGCGCCCGCGGAGCTCTCGCGGGTGCCCGTCACCCGTCGCTGGCAGATAAAATGAGCTTTTAAGCCCATTTCCCCCCCCCCCCCATTTTTATTTCATATAAACCCTCCTCTCTCTCTCAACCTGCGCCCCAAACCTTCCTTCACCCCTAAATCTCTCACTCTCACTTCATTATCATCGATCCTCCTCCATCCTAATCTCCATCCATCTTTCTCATCCTCTTAATCTTCCATCCCCAAGCCCCAACAAGAGAGTTTTTGATTCTTCAACTTGAGGTAAGTCTTCTTCTTCCTTTCTTTCAATTTGTGGATCAATGGAGGATGGGATTGATGTGGTGAAGGTTGTAGAATTTGTTGGGATTGTGCATGGTTGATTTTAGATGCAAATTTTTGGAATTTTCACCTTTCTAACATCATTTTGCTCTCTTCTAATTTCTGCTGCATATCAGGTGTTTGACAAAAGTCCTGAACCAATTTTCTTCATTCCAATGGCTCCTAGGGTTATTTTTAAGCGTGCTAGGTCATCCAAGGGCCCTTCTAATGCTCCTCCGCTCCCAAATTGGGCTGAATGGCCAATTGAAACTGAAGCTCGTTTTGACATTACACCTACTTTTAAGAGCAATGTGGAGACCGCATGGTCCGTCTGTGAATTGAGGGCTCATGGCCTAGCCTCTATTTTCAAACCGCACGCTCATTCTTACTTCCCGCGTGTGGTCCGTCTATTCTATGCCAACATGGTCCACTCCTGTGAGGAACCGGACAAAATCAAAACCACCATTGATGACTATGATTATGAATTCGACCTCGATGACCTTGCTATGGCTATGGATTGCCCCATGATTTCGCCAGTGGATGAGGCGGGCCTCCCCCTTTATGTTGAAGGTCCCGATCAGCCTACCTTAGCGGACATTGTGGGAGAAATTTGTCATGGTCAATTCACCGGAAACAGAACCACAAGCACCAATAAATATTTCTTACCTTGCCGGCTATGGTTTCTCGATTCGGTCCTGGCCAAGAACGTCCTACCCGTGCTAGGCCATTTCTAGCGAAAGGGGGAATTTTTAAAAACCCTCTACTATGCTGAAAAGGAGTGTTGGTTTTGTGTCCCACAACTTGTCTGGGACCAACTGCTAAAAATCTACAAGGAGTTAATCTTGGTTCGGTCGCGCACCACCACAACCTGGGTATTCCCATTTCCATACCTTATTACAAGGTTGCTCAAAAATATGGGGTTCCGAGCTTCCCGTGGTGAACAGAAAGAGAAAGATATATTGAACTTCACCCTTGGGGTCTGGAAGTCCAGCACAGCTCAACTTCAGACGTCCCGCCAGGCCCGCATTGGTGACGAGTTAGATTGGGGTGCTCCGCCCCCCCTTTGGCTCCTGCTCCTGCTCCTCCTGATGCACCCGCTTCTCCAGCTACCACTTTTGTCCCGCCGCCGGATGTCATAACTCGCGCCGACTATCTCGCCTTGGATGCTCATCTCGATGCTTTTTCCTTGCGCTTTGATGCTATAGAGGGTGCCGTCCAGAAAACCCAAGAGAATTAAGAGATTTTGCAAACTATACTCCAGTCATTGATTGATCGAGCTAGGCGCACCTGGTGCTTCCTCCTCCACGCCGATGGAGGATTGATTTCCTATTTCTTGTTTTATTTCCCTTTTGCAGTAGTACTTCTTTTAGACTTCTTTTGGGCTGCGTTTGGCATTTCTTTTCCAAGTTCTTTTAAACTTTTAACTGCATCTCTTTTGTTAGTTTGCATGGATTTTAGCTTTGAAATAAATTACAGTTATCGTTAGTAATTTTTAGATTCATTTGATTCTTGCTCTGTATAGATGCTTTTGATAGGTGTTTGATTTCAAGTTTGGGGGTATGCTCTTGGAATTCACAAAGTGGCTTATTTTTGCACCGTCACTCTATTCTTCCTCAACTTGGTACTATTGTTCTTCGCACTCTCCAGTTTTCTTTCTAATTCTCTTATCCTTTGTCTTCTCACATTGAGGACAATGTGACATTCAAGTTTAGGGGTGCATGTGCTTTCATTCGTATGATTTTTGCTCATTTTTTATGCTCATAAGTTAATAAAATCATGTTGTTGAAAGCAATGATAGTGTAACTATGGAACTTGTTGAAGGTTGAAGCATGTACTTAATACTTTGTGTATAGAAGTGAAGATAATTTGTGAAAATAAGAAAACTTTTGAAATAAGCATGTTGATTCATAGTTGGTTTGTATAAAGACTTCAATTAAATTTTTGTCGGATTTCATACTCTTTTATGTTTCACATTGCACATTTGCACACCGGAAACCTAATTGTGAGGCATGCAACCCAAATTGACCTTGATTAGGACTCAGTGATCTGAATTAATGACCCCAATGAATGGATACCCTTGGCATGTAAGTTAATTAAAAAAAAAAAAAAAAAAAAAAGAAATCAATGACAAGTCGAAGTTCGAAGCCTTTCCAGCTCGAGTTATTAAGCCTTAGGAGTGTTTCTACACTTAGCACCCTAAGACCATCTGGTTTGGGATTTGTTGGCCTAACACTTGTTATATGGGTTGGATAGAAAGCTTAAAGAACCTAGACATTGCACGGTTATTAAAAAAAAAAAAAAAATTTGGTTCGTCGAAGTTCGTAGCCTTTCCAGCTCGAGTTATTAAGCCCTAGGAGTGTTTCTACACTTAGCACCCTAAAGCCATCTGGTTTGGGAGTTGTTGGCCTAACGCTTGCTACATAGGTTGGTTAGAAAGCTTAAGGGATTTCGGCATTGCACAACCAATAGTTTGCTTTCTTTTGTGTGAACAATAGAATTCTCAATAAGCAACAAAAGTTGCATTGTAATAAAATTATGCCATTGGGACCTCATTTTGAAGGAGATTTAAGAATGTGAAAATGTGTTCTTGGGATTGGAAAAAGAGGGTAAAAGCCGCATATTGGGAATTCGGCTCACTTTCACTGAAGTTAGAGTTCATGTTATTCAAGAAATGATAATTGAAGTTTTTATATAGAGCTTAATGATTGATGCATTTAAGATTGAAATCATTTTTGCCATTTTGATTATTAAGGTTTCATATATGCAAGGTAGTCTGTTTAATGGAACTTCCTCCAATTTTTTGTCATTCCACGTTACATTTGAGCTTCATAGATAAATTTCTTTCTTAATAATTGATGCATGTTGTCATTTTTGCTAGATTCTATATTTTGTTTTGCTAAGGGACTAGCAAAATGTAAGTTTGGGGGTGTGATAAGCGCCGAATATTGCATATTCAAGCGCCATTTCTTGCATTAATTAAGTCTGTTAATGGAGTAGAATGTACAGTTTTAATTTATTTTTGCACTTTTGTCTTGTTTCAGGTCAGTTTCCTTGAATTTGATCAAAGAAGCAGTTTTGGCATCAATTATGTTGAAATACGTGCGCTGTGCCGGGGAGTCATCTCTTGGACCTGACTTCTCCTACCGTTTTATAAAGTCATGACTGAATGTTCATCGTGGGAGTGTATCCACGGTCCGGCTTGAAGAAGGCTTGCAAGAAGCCTTGAAAATGTGGCAAAGGCAAGCTCCCGCGGGCGCCCGCCGAATGCCTCACCTCTCTGTCTAGTTTCGCGGTGCCTTACAGAAGCCCCCGCAGTAGCTCCCGCACACCACCGCGGGGGCCCGCCATCGTGCCGCGGGCGCCCGCCAAACATGCCAGTACCATCTTAGCGAGCCGCAGCTACCACGGGCGCCTGCCGGCCCTCTGCAGGCAGTTCACCTGTCCCTTTTTTTCAGCATTTTTGTTCCCTTATCTTCCTTTTATGTGGTGGAGATTGAGCCAGAGGAGAGAGCTCAGGATTTTGGAGTATGGGGAGTATGTTTTGGAAGGATAAGAAGGGGGTATGATCATACATATCTTATATCTCAAATTTGAAGCGCTAGAGTGGAGGTGGAGAACTTTTTGGGTGTTCTTGGAGCTCAAGGTGCAACAATGGAGAATTCTTCTTCTTCCTTCTCTCCACTCCTTACATTAATGGGTAACTAAACCTCCATCTAGAGAGGTGATGAGGCCTTCCCTTGTAATCATGTTTTAGATTAGGCTCTATTTTGGGGATAAATATGTATAATTTTTGGTCTTCTCATAATCTAGAGCATATTACTTTTTGTAATGAATTTCAATATTCATAAATGATTGATGTAAGTTAATTATCTTGTCTTTGATGATCCTTATACTAATCTTAATGCTTACATTTTCATGGTGACAATGGAAATAAGATTACGAGTGGTTTTCGTGGCATGTTGATAGAGAAACTTGATAGTCCATTGCTTAGGTATTCCCTTTGATGGTTTATACTTGATTCCTAGCTTCATGTGCTTTATCATTTGATTAATGGCTTGATGGTCTTTTGCTTAAGGTAGTAGGTTTGATGCTACACCCTAGTTTAGGTAGTTCAAATGTATGAACTTTTGATGGATCATTCTTGTTCTGATTTAATGAACTTCTTGGTGATTATAGGGTAACCATGTGTTGCTATATAATTCTTGACCATTATATATATATTATTTATCCCCAATTTAATCTTGATCTAGCATGTGTTTAGGGTTTAGTGCGGATTCACTTCCCTAGTTCTTTTTAATTGTCTTTGCCTATCTATTTCATAGCATTACCATTTTATGCATTTCTCAATTCATAGTTTTAGTGGCAAACCAACAGATCCTCTATAAACCTCCCTTATCATTCTAAAAGATGATTTTAGACACTTAGGTTGCCATATATTAGCGCAGTCCCAGTGGTTCGACTTACCCGACCAATAGCCCTATTTTACAGTGATTTGTGTTATTGCAAAACGGGTTGATTTATAATTGTAATCGATCAGTCGATCAATGATGGGTTTTGACATTTAGGAACCAATGAGATATATGTGTTATTGGCTTCTGAAAGCATTTTCCCATTGTTGAAGAATTCTGTGATGGCCAAGGTTACTGACCTTCCCACTATATCCCAAGCTTTTTGAAAGAATGCAGCATTATAGCCATCTGGACCTAGGGCTTTGTCCCTATTGAGGTGCAACAGACAGTTCTGGATTTCCAATGGAGATGGTATTTCACTTAAGGAACTTAGGAGGTGGGAAGGTACCTGCTTGAAGTTAAAAGCACATAAATCAGATAGACTGTGAGTTGGAGGAGCTGCAGTATCAAGTAATCCTTTGAAATGAGCCACAATTTCTTCAATGATGGATTCTTTGTCATAAATGAGTATGCCAGCATCAGTGGTGAGAGATAGAATCTTTTTCTTGTTGTTCCTTGAGGAGAAGGATTTGTGAAAATAAGCTGTATTAGAGTCCCTAAGTTTCAAGCAGTTAATTTTGGATTTCTGCCTTAGCATGCTTTCTTGAATGTTGGTCAGCCTGATAAGCTCAGTGGAGAAAGATCTTTCCATTTGTCTAAGACAAGTGTTAGAAGGAGAGCAATCCAAATCCGATTGACATGCATCCAGCTCCAACTTGACAGCATGAAGTAGTGAGTCAATGTCAGTAAAATCTTTTTTGCAGTTTCCTTTCAAAACAGGCTTCAACAACTTCAGCTTTTGCACAACTTGAAACACAGCAGTCCCTTTGATGAAGGTAGTCTACACCCCATGAACAGAAGATAAGAAATACCTATGAGAGCCCCAAGAGTTAAAGTATCTGAATGGGATGCATCTTTTGGGAAGCTGGAAATCCATATTCACCAAGATTGGGTTGTGATCAGATATTCCAGGTGTGAGGAAGCTGCACTCAGATAGGGGAAATGATGAAGTCCACCCTTGGTTCACTAGAGCTCTATCAAGCTTTTTGACTATGCAAGCATTTCCAAAACTCTTATTGCACCAAGAGTAGAGAATACCACTAAATCTAAAGTCCACAAGCTTAGCATGCTGTAAACATTCCTTGAAATCAGTTATTGCAGGGCACCACCTCATTGAGCCTTCATGAGTTTCAGTAATATTAGAGATGGCATTAAAATCCCCCATCAGCAACCATGGAGTAGGAGAGAAAAGGCCAGCATTGTGCACAATGTTCTCCCAAAGGGACTATCTTTCAATAGCACAGTTAGCAGCATAAATAAAGGAGCAGTAGAAGGTAATATTCTCTCCAAGGACATTGATTTTACAATTAATTGCCTGCCTGTTCATGTCTATAAAGAAAAGAAATGGGGTTGCGGGTTTGTTCTGTGATCCACTTTGGTACGGACGCTGACATATTTGTTTTATATATGGTTTGTGGTTTTAGGCCGCGACCTGAAGATAAGTTCGTTGGCCTAAAGCTACGTATACTTTCAATTAAGAAATTATTATTTATTTAAGTAATTTATTATTATTATTATTATTTTAGTTGTTTTTCTACCCTAGTGTTTTAAAGCATTTCAAATGCAACGGTAGGGTCTGTTCTCCCACCGAGATCAAATTAGCTTATTTTTTTGAGTATAATAATCAAAGTTGAATGGGTTAAGAGTGAAAAATTCAAGTGTCAGTCTTACATTTTGAATGCAATGTTTCATTTTACGATTTGACAGTCATATTTTTTTATTTTTTTAGTGGCCCAAATCGGAGATAACGCTCTTAAAGTAAATTGGGATAATTCTATAAACCGAGATCAAATTAGCTTATTTTTTGAGTATAATAATCAAAGTCGAATGGGTTAAGAGTGAAAAATTCAAGTGTCAGTGTTACATTTTGAATGCATGTTTCATTTTACGATTTGACAGTCAGATTTTTTTATTTTTTTAGTGGCCCAAATCGAAGATAACGATCTTAAAGTAAATTGGACCTGGAAGTTACTGTAGTTTTTTATTTAATTCCTAAACTGCCCTGTTACGAAATTACCTAACTACCCATTCAATTGATTCCCCCTCTCTCTCTCTCTCTCCATCTCTTTTATCAGTTTAGGGTTTGTTGCCCACGCCTCTTTGCCTCGCCATTGACCCAGCCGAAGAAGAGAAAAATCTGCTACCAACTAATACTAACTCCGGCCATTACTAGATAACACCGGCAACAAGTCACTCCGGCGACACTTCTCAGGTTCACTACTCTCTCCCTCTAACCAGATTTGTAACCTTTCTTTCTTTTCTCAGTTTTTAATTTTTTGATTTTTTCTTAGTTTCACTTCTCTGCCATTAAAGTATTGTATGGTCTTGGTTCATTCACCTGCGGACTCCTCTTATTCACACTTTCTCTTTGTCGTAGCAGGTCACTCTTTTCTTCATCCCTAGTCGGTTTGAAAGCATTCTGTAAGAATTGCGTATGTAATAAAGTTCTTGGTGTTTACTTCAAATTTCTTTCACCTTTGATTTACCGATTGATTGCTTCTTTGAAACTACCCTCTTAATTTTCTTTCTTTCTTGGTATCAAAGCTAGCAAAAAATAAGCGAGGAGTTGAAATATCAATGAGAAATTGATAGGAGTATTTTTTTGGAGCTTGATAGGCGTCTTGATTATTACATTGTGTAGAATTGTTGTTGCTTCCTCTGATACCCATGTTCCTCGGACATTATACCGTAAGTAGAAATAAAAGGATTGTTTTTTAAACAAAAAAAAAAAAAAAAAGAATAGGAATGGAACTATTGATCAAGCGAATTAATACAAAAAAAATAAAAAAATAAAAAAAGATTTAACAAATTAATTTCCGCCTTAAAAATAAGTCGTACATCAAATTTACATACTTTCCAACGAATAGTGTCTCTCGAATTAGTGCCCAGCTGAGAATAGCCACAATTACAAGAAGCAATGGGTCTCTGGAATTAGTGCCCATAACATGAGGCAGAATGCAGTTTGTATTGTTGATTTAAGCAGAACTTTGTATTGTTGAGGATATTTTAGATGCATTTTGTTTATCATTTGGATTACAATTTGTATTGTTGATTTAAGCCCAAAATTTTGTATTATTGTCAGTAGTACTATTTTATTATGAAAACTCATTATTGTTGTGTGTGTCTATGTGCTGACTATTTAATGATTGCATTACTAATTTTATTACTCTTTTATTCTTCCTATTTGTGTTCTGGTCCTATTTCTATGGCTTTTTTCATGTACTTTATTTGTTGAATAAAAACCACATTCAGGAAAAAAAAAAAATATAAAATCAAAGAAACAGGCAATATGTAATGGCGAAGTACAAATGTAGTAATTAGTAAAGTTAGTAAGGGGTAGTAATATAATTTCACAACAATAATAGGATGGGCAATTTGGGAACGTAGTCAATCAAAAAAGTTGGTAAGAGATAATAATATAATTTCACAACAATAATAGAATGGGCAATTTGGGAATCAAAAGAAAATTTACAATAATTTTTCATATTTAAGTCAACATTTGCAAAATTTCCATTAATTTGGAAAATTGGAGTTTGACTCCACCTTTTTGACATTTAACCTCCAAAAGATCATTTTTATGGAATTATCCCTTTAATTTATTGGTTCTCTAATTTAATTTTTTATTGTATTTTCTAAAAAATAAAAAATAAATAAAAAAATTAACATTTTTTTTATTATTTTTGTACCTATCTATGTCATATTTGACTGCATATAGACAAAAATATATACTGAGAAATATATAGGGAAAATTACATATAAATGGAGTCAAAGTTCCATATTTACTTAGAGGCTGAGTCAAAGTTCCATATTTCTCTAAAATGGATTGCTGAGGTGGCACATGGTTTTTTACTGTTTAGAAATTGTGATGCCTAAAATACCCTTCCGCGAAGGTACTACTTTTTCTTCGAAGGTACTACTTTTTTGAACTGAAGGTACTACTTTTTGGCGTCCAGGTACCATGTTTTTTAAACACTCGCGAAGGTACTACTTTTTCTCCAAATGTACTACTTTTTTGAACTGAAGGTATTACTTTTTTGTACTGAAGGTACTACTTTTTTGTTAGGGAAGGATATTTTAGACACCACAATTTTCTAAACAGTAAAAAACCATGTGCCACCTCAGCAATCCATTTTAGAGAAATATGGAACTTTGACTTAGTCTCTAAGTAAATATGGAACTTTGACTCCATTTATATGTAATTTTCCCAAATATATATATGTATGTAACAATGTATAGATCGTGCCAAGTGTGTAAAGTCGCAGAGATTTGGGGTGCATTAGCCAGAGATCTATTGTACAAGAACATAGGGTTTGAAAATAGGATATACTTTTAACATCAGGTAGAAGAACAATCTTTAGAAAGCACAGAAGATTTATATAGAGCTTATAAGTTATTTTTATTTATTTATTTTTTTGTCTTGTAGTTATTGAAAATTCTTTTATTTAGAAACATATTTATGAGATTTCAGGAGAAGTAATGATATATTTAGAAACAACTAATTGGCGTTGTGTCTATGTTTCTGGGTACTAATAGCTACAATGATACATGTGCTTCTTCAGGTGTTTGGAAAATTGGTTGAAACAATATCATGTTGCTGCAATGGTGGTGACTTCCCCATCTTCGCCAGCTTTACTGCAGGAAGAAGCCAATGTAGGATAAAAGGGAGGCGGCAACTAGACCGACAACTGGCAAGGCGGTGGTGGCATCGCTCTTCTTCTTCTTCTTGTCCTTGTCTCCGGCCATGGCCTCACTCATGCACAAGGCAACGACAAGGACTACCCAGTAGATCTTCTTCATGTCCATGATGAATATGATCAATTGATCAATCAGGTAGTATTAATGACAATGATCACCAATCACACCTAGGATCGATTACTGTGTAGTCTTGTGGAGGTACAATGGTGGTTAAGGGGTGGATTTATAGGGTTCATTTGAGCTATTTTTGGAATAAAGCCGTTACATCTCTGCCCTATTCTTAGTGTACGTTTTTCTCTTCCCTAATTATTTGGTGGTTTGGAATAACTAGCTGACTAATAAGCTAATCATCTATTATTTATTTTGAAAGTAAAAAAAAAAAAAAACACAAACACATAGTAGTTATTGGATCAAGGGCACTCAAGAATAGATATTTGGTGTGTGATACAACTCGAATGAAACTGGTGCAAGTCGCATCCAAGTACATCTAATATTTATTCTAAATGAAAAAGAATATAACAAATGTGTTAACGTGTACCCAGCATATCACAATTGTCCGTGCCCACACAATAAAACATAAATGTATTATATACCTGACACACCAAATAAATGCTCAAACTTTATTTTTCATTATGATCGTGCAAAAAGCAATCCTTCAATTCGTCTTGCTATCCGTATTGACGCGTGTATATGGATAAGATATTGGCATTTTTTTACTTCAGAATTAAAATTCTCCAAAAAAAAATTTTCAAAGTGGCGCGGTGATAGAGTTGAGCGGTGGCAGAGCTAGCTGTTATAATGGGTATGGAACTGATCCAAATCTGGGCTTGAGCAATGAATATCCCAAATCTGGGCTGGAGTTGTGCTTAATTGGTCCAAGGCAAACTTGCGGGTCAGCCCAAACAAACAGGTGGATTGTTGGCCCTTTCCATGCGCTGCAAACAGAGATGCTCTTTCTGATTGGAGCTCCACCCCACCGCTATTCAGGCCAGCAAAGCCTAACACTTGGTTTTCGAATCCGATGATGAATAACTGCAAGAAATTGTGCGATTCCGTGGATGAATCGACGAGTTGGTGCGGTGAGATGATGCTGATGAAGTGATGACCGACGACAATGAATGTAGATATGAATGCTCCGGCGAAGACAATGTAAGGACCGAGATACCGACCAGAAATAGCGCCGTCGCCGATAGATCGAGGTGGAGGCTCTGGTGAAATCTGCCGGCGTGAGTGAGCGCGTGGAAAATAGATATTGATGATAGCCGAGGTTTACTACGCTGACGGTGCTGGATCAGGACCCTTTCGACGACCGTATGAACACCGTGACGATGTCTATGGCAGATATGTGATGGAGGAGTCGATGGTGAAGACAACAGAGACCTCCATGCGCCTCTGTGCGTGCGTGAGAGGTGTCACCGATGACCACTATGTGGAGGTGGTAATGATAGATGGTTTCTGGTGGGTGTGAATTGTTGACCGGGCGCTTGCAATGTTGATGAAGAAAAGGCCAAGGCGCTAGTACATGTAAATTTATTTATTTATTTATTTGCTGTGCAAAAATTAGGTATAGTAAAATTTTTTTTTTTTTTTTTTGGGTGGGCACTTGAGCACACCCAAGCCCCTTCTTGGATTTGCCATTGTCTCCTGTGCTATGAGATGTGAATTTTGTAATTGACAATAATTATCGGTAACAAAACAAATTCTAGTGGGGTTGTAATTACAAGTTATCATATCGAGATCAATAGCGCCTGCGGAATAGGAAGGTTGTTCAAAGATATCATAATTGGATCAACGAGAAAGGAAAGAACATTACTTTTAGGAAGAAATCTAAAAAGGTTAGCACACGTTCCATACTTGGTATATTTTTAAAACTTACCAAAACAATGTTTTCAACCTTCATAACCATAAAATTCAAGTCTAGCACACTTGAATCGATTCTGCCTTTCTTGAACTGATTTAAGCCCCTCAGTTTGGTTTTGAACTTTATTTTGTCATACTTGAACCAGTTCAGCATTTCTTAAACCGGTTCAAGACTTTAGACAAGTTTTAGTAACTTCAATTTCATGTTCTAATTTCTTTCCTACTTGGTTTCAAATTGTATCAAAAGTCCTATGCACAATTTTTTTCATATTTTTTGAAGGATTAAGTCTTTGAAATTTTCTATATAAACCCTGATAGTCATTTAGTTTTATTATGGCTTTTTGCACTACAACTTCATAATCTATAAAGCCTTGGGAAGATTATTTTTGCAAAAAATTCAAGGGATTTCTCTGTCAGTTTTTATAGAACACACACATAAATACATAGTGAGTTTAAGAGTGTTGTTCAAATCCTGATCGTGATCATATAGTTGCATTTACATCGATCAAAGAAAAGTAGATCTACTTCTACATCAATTTAGATATTGAAGAACAAAATTAAAAGCAATCACACTTTGAAAGGGTTAAAACATTCGAGGAATGTTATTCGATCTACCTACTACTCTTCTACAAAGATTAATCATAAGCCTAAGGTCAAGTTGCTATTGAACGGGACGTCGCAAAGCCAGAGAATTGTCAACTATTGGTATTTAGTAAAATGATAGGGTGCGAGCTAGAGTTAAAGTTCAGTGTACTTTATTTCAAACATAGTGGATCAGTTTACTTTGGACTGCACAGTCCACGAGGTTTTCCCGTGCAAACAGTTGATGAATTTTATTAATTGGGGTTTACTCGCTAAAAATTCTGTTGTCATCTCTAACTCTTACTTTGCTTTATTTTATCATGCATGAGATTAATTATTTAATTGTTAAAATAAGTAAAGTTGGAAAGACACAGATCTGTTTCTAAAAATACAAAACTTTCTAAATATTCCGCTGCATACAACTCAAAATTTGGTACTAGATACAATCTCTACACATTGAGTTTATCCTTGTGGAAAGTTTTGATTGATTTCAAAAATTTGTTTTCATCATGTCTTATGTGTTGAAAGAAGGTGGTTCTAATCAACGTGGTCCTTTATTTGAAGGAGATAATTACAATTTTTGGAAATAAAAAATGAGTGCTTATTTGCAAAATTCAAGAGGTAAAACTTGGGCTTTTGTTGAATCTGGTTATACACCACCTACAGAAGATAAAACTGTAGATGATAAATTTGAAAAAGTTTTAAAAGATGCCTTTTCTTTTACTGTTGTTGAAACTGAGCGTAATAATGCTAATGGAAAAGCTTTATATGCAATTATTAATTCGGTTATTCCATCTGAATATACTAGAATTTCTTATTGTAAACCTGCAAAAGATGCTTGGGATATTTCGCAGGTTACTCATGCAGGGACTTCAAAAGTGAAGTTATCTAAAATTCAGATGCTTTCTCATAACTTCGGGAACATCGTGATGAAAGAAGATGAATCCTTTTTATATTTTTATTCTTATCTTCTTGAAATTATTTCTTA